GCCACATCTGCCAAGAATTTAGAGTTTTGGAGGAGGAAGAGTTGCCACAAGTGATTCTTTTGTGTTGTAGTTAAAAATTACAGAGGTTGTGCCTTAGTTGCATGTTAGGTTTCAGCCGTCTTTTTGCCATTGAGTGAGGTTCCTGCTTTGGAGTATCTCTCTATGCAAGTGCTCTTTCTGGTACACTCTATCTATCCTTTATGCAAAAAAAGTTAATGGGATGTATGGGAAATAATAACCAAGYTTTTTTTTTTTCCTGGTTTCTGAAATGTTTAGGTGGGGGAAAAGGATAATTAGTGTGTGCTGTAGGTAGTAACCTGTTGCAATGTTGGTGTGTGCATTAGATAAAGTGGACTGGTGTCACAGCGGGATGGGAAGCCACATGATCCACAGGCCCATGTCAGACCCGGGAGTGTTTTCGCACCAAGCGATGGAGCGCGACAGTACGGGAATAGTGACRCCTTCCGGTACATTCCATCAGCCTGTTCCTGCAGGATACATGGACTTTCCRAAAGTCGGGGTAAGGAGCCTGTTGTTGCCAGTGTGCTGCTCAATTTCCACACTTGTGCGCAAGGCAGGCGAGCTGCTTGAACTATCATTCATCTGCACTATTACAACATGTGTAAGGTGAATATTTGGTAGCATTCCTAGTGTTGGAGACAACTGAGATTTAATTTAAAAAAAAAAAAAAAAAGGAAAAAACCTCTAATGTTTTCTGTGCCAAGAGGAAAAAATAAATGCTTAAAAGTGTTTTTTAGGCTTGCATTTTCTATTACTGCTTTAAGCTGGAGAAATTCTGTAACATGCCAGCTGTTCTGTATGTGCAAGAATAGTAGCATTTATGAATACACAGTGATTTTTTTGCTTTTTTCTCCTCCTTAAGGGTATGCCTTTCTCTGTGTATGGGAATGCAATGATTCCTCCAGTAGCCCCCATCACAGATGGTACTGGAGGTCCTATATTTAATGGGCCTCATGCTGCTGACCCATCTTGGAACTCGCTGATAAAGATGGTTTCAAATTCCACAGAAAATAACGGGCCTCAGACGGTAACGTTTTCATCTTGTTATTCATGGTTTTAACTTAACAAATGGCATGGTCAAGGGAGAACCATTCTAGCTGTGAGGAACGTATCTTGTGTGGTGCTGCCTGTTTTTCCTCATTTCTCTGAGCTGATACACCGCTACTCATTAGAGAATTGAGTGCTGTATGTATGTATTCTGTGACCACAATTGAGCCCGTGTGTGTGTGTGTATATATATATAGATATAGATATAGATGTGTACACACAGATACACTTAAAATTACTATGACATGCATCAGGATAGATGCATATTTGAGATGAGCTAATCAATTTGCTTTAGTGAAGACAGGTATTATTTGTTCATATGCAAGTCTGCCTTGCTGGAAAAGAGGATAGAGCATAAAAGAGAATAAATAGCTCTTCTTTAATGTTTTTAAGCAATTTCTCTGATCTTTTGTGAATTAGGGTCTTCCCACTAAACAGAACTTAGATACATTCCCCYAAACCTCTTGACACTACTAGGACAGCCCCTGAAATTATCCCAAATCAGTAGTAGTTCTTTTTGTGTTAAATCTTCCATTTATATTTCATTATACACTGAGCTCTGGACTTGAGTTAGCTTGGAACTCTCCAAGGAGCAGGCAGCATCTCCTAGCTCTTTGCAGGTTGTAGGGTCATAGCAGAGTGACTTTTTCTGTAGGCGCAATTCATGTATTGCTCGAAGTGGCTCTTTATCATAATTTATGAACTTCAGGTTTAGTTGAAAAAACATGGTGCCACGAGTTTTCACTTGGGTTGTGTTTGTTTTGTTTTCTAGAGCTCGGGGTGGTGATAGAAAAACTGTAGGTCTTTGAGGTGTTGCCCTTGCACACAATCCTGTGCGCTTATGTCAAGTCCTGTTATATCTCCTGGACAGTGGACCTGGCATGCGTTGAGACTGTACTTGGTTTCCTTGGGGTGCATTTTTTTTTGTGTAGAAAGACAGATTTTATTGCTGTGCTGGAGGAATTGTYGGCTTAATGGTGTTGGCTTCACTCTTTGAATGGGGTATTAAGGCTTCCCACTTGGGCTGGGAGAAAGTGTTTTTTGTGCTATATGGAAAGGAATGTGCAGGCAGAAGAGTTGCCAAAGAGAATAAGCTGCAGGCAGGAAGATGAAAGATCTTGTACCCTCTTCAAAAGGTACAAAAGGTTCAAAAACCTTTCCTCACCTGAATTGCAAGAAAGAAAGGAAAAAAAAAGTTAAGAGATGAACTCAGGGTGGTTTATTCATGATTGATGCTTGCATTGTCTGAGGTGCTAATTAATTTCAAAGCAGTTGAAACTGTARGGACTTTTGTGTAGTTGGCATTTCTGTAATGTTTTGAGTGGCCCAGAAGAATGGTGTTAAACAAAGCTCTCTCTTTTCAGGTGTGGACTGGAACTTGGACACCTCACATGAACAGTGTGCATATGAACCAGCTTGGCTGAGTGGGATCAACTTGCTAGCCTTGWGATTCCTTTTTTTGCAGAGGAAAAACACAAATGGCAGAAACAGTTTATGTGCTCCCAGATCATTCTACTGATGTGCTTGACTGAAGTGTGTAGGCTTTTTGCAGAAGAACTTACTAACTGACCTTTTTCTGTGAACATTGTGACCGCCCATTCCCCACCATCATACGTTTCAACTTAGTTAGCCTTTATTCTTTCCCCTTTTTCTTTCTTTTTTTTTCTTTTTTTTTTCTTTTTTTTTTTTTTTTTGGACATAACTTTCTGTTGAAGCTGTTCTTTGGCTGGTTGGTTTTAGTACTGTAAACTGCTTCTGAGCAAACACAGAAATTTAGCAAAATTATGTAAACTTGATCCTGAAGTTTTAGAATGGCAAATAAATGTACAATTGTTTACATAACAAATGGCTAAGCAGAAAGTAAATTTCAATATGTCAGTATAGAGGCTCTACTTTATGTAGACTTAAATTAATGTGAGATATGTACCTTCATATTCAGAAATCTGGATGTTTCCTTCATACATTAAACTATTAATAAGCATAACTTTTCTACTTGTGTAATTTAAGAACAATATAAAACGGGCATTATCAGACTCTTCTTTTCCAGATGTGTTGGATTTTTTTTGAGAAGGCATGCATCAGTTGTGACAAGATATTAAGGGTTTCCACTTTTCTTGGAAAGGCTTTTCAGAAAAAAAAAAATGCTTGAGGAAGCCTTTTGGCACGTTCAGAGTTGTCTCCACACCAACACTTGTACATGCCTAATAGACATGGTAAATGTATCATGCTGCAGTATCTAGTAAGAATAATTCTTAAAATTGGGTTGATGCAGCAGGTTTGTTCGGTTTCACGAGTGTTCCCAGAGCTTCTGTTCCTCTGGTACCTTCTTTTGTCTACACAAGGTGGTTCAAGATATTTCTGTGTTTTTTTCAAAAGGAAAGCATTCACTTGAAGTTCACTGATTAAAAACTGGCTGCAGATGAAAGCTTATTTCAGAATAAATGGCTTTGTTTTAGCAGGTGGTGCGTTGTTCTGAATTGGGTTGCTATTTCATGAAGGGTTTACCTTTAAAAAATACAAATTAAAATTCCCTTATGGTAATCCTGAGTAGCTATTAACCTTCTTTACTGAAGTTGCTTGGAGTGAACCTCCCTGGGGTAAAGCCAACTGCTGTGTCAGCTGAGGCAGATCTCAGCTGAGATACAGTGCAAATCAGATAGCAGTATAGTGTACATATATATGGTTTGAAGTGCAAGTCAAATGTGGTGGGTTTTGGGTGTGTGGACACCTGGTTTGTTGCTGGTTATTCTGCACGAAGGAAGGCTAAAAGAAAGCTTGCATCATTAATGTGGTGTCACKAAGATATCTACCCTTTTGTCCTCTCTGTGCAAGTTTACTGTTCAGAGGCATCTTTCGAATCATTTCAGGTGAATAAATACCCAAGATGAGTTAGGTGGTGTGACTTAGTGTTTTCAAATTTCAGACTTTCTTGTAATTTGTTTCGATGCTGTCTTAAAGACGAGAAGAAGAAAAGTCATTTTTCTGACAGTTTGAACTAAGTTCTCCTGTGTAACAAATTAGTTGGCTTACAAAGTMCCATTAATGATTTAAATTCGATTTCAGCCCTTGATTATAAGTGGGGAACAGTGCTTTTCAGCCTCTTCCTATAACCTTGCCCATACCTAGACTTTTGTGCCTGATGCTAAGTGCTAATTCGGATTATTTGCATTCTCACTCGGGAAAAAAAAACTGAGAAATACTGCTCACTATTGCGGCAGTGTATTTCTGTGGGTTAAAAGAACAGGATTTCTGGGGATGTGGTTTCTGTTTATCTCCGTTTTGCTAACTTTGCTGTGAAACCTGCGGACAGGGGAGGAGAGGCTGTGTGCTCTGTGTGTGGCACCTGCCTTACGTACAATCCGGGGGGTGCTCTGTAGCAGTCTATACTAGGACTTTAAGAAGCATCTTTTTTTTTATTTCCACTGTAATGCATTTTATTTGAACAATAAAAAGATACACAAAGGAATATGCTGTTTAAAGACCTGCCAATGGTCATCTTTAGTAAGAGGGTAAGAGGAAAAAAAAATGTTATCTCTTGGTATTTTTCCAGACAGCTAGAGAACCTTTTTCCMTGACCGAGGGCGCTATGAGTCCTTGTTGAAAGTGGGGTCTGTTGTCAAGTTAATGCCTTGTTCCCTCAGGGGGGGTAATTACAAGGTCACTCCTCTTGGTTCCTTGTTTCCTCTCACAGGAGGGGAGGACAGTTCCCTCACGTGTCGAGGTGTTGAGCTGCGCTTCTTGAGCCGCTCCTAACAGCCTTTGGAAGCGGTTCGCCAGT